GGCAAGTTTTGACTGGTTCTTACGGCTGTTTTGTTTGGTACATTTTGATGGATGCTTTCCAGCTGAGGCTTTTACTGTGAAATCTTACAGGGTGTCTGGATGTCACGATTTTCCATTTGAAACCATCCCATGATTTCCTGCTATTTCCTGCCTTTATCCTTACTGCCCACTTCGTTTATGGATTAAGCAAGAAAAAGGTGTAATGGGTGCATGGTATCTTTCGATTCGTGCTTATGGGTACCAGTGGGGTCTTGACTTAAGAACGCCTTGAGTTAAGAACATTTTGACTTAAGATCCGCTCTCATAGGAAAATATTGACTTGACTTAAGTACTTAGATTTGAGTTAAGAACTAAAAAAAACCACGTGGGAGGCAGGGAAAGTGCAAAATTTGAATTTTCAGTTAACTGTTGGCCAGTGAAAAGGGTGCCTGTCTGCTTCCACACTCCTCCCTGCGTTTAGAGTGGATTGGGAGACAGTCTTCAGACTGCCTGGTACTGTCCTGCCTGGACTGTCTTTTCCCTGCCTTCCCTGAACCTTTCTTGACCTAAGAAAAAAAGAAACAAAATATCCCCCTCTAGTGGTCGAAGGCAGAATAGCAGCTTCCCATTAGTTTCTATGGACGGAAAAGAGCAGATACGGATCAAATGGTTTTCAATGCATTCCTATGGGAAATGCAGATTTGACCTGAGAACTTTTTGACTTGAGAACCGCCTTCCAATACGGATTAAGTTCTCAAGTCAAGACCCCACTGTATGTGTTCAGCAAGCCCTGAATTCTCCACTAATTCCCCAGGCAGAGTTCTGCAAGCTGCAGCCCACAATCACAGATCTGCAGATCTCTAGATTTCACATTTGTACAAAAGGACTTTCAGGTTATTTACCTCCAACACTTCCACCATATTTGTTGTTATTGTTATTTTTTAAAAGCAAGCTGCTATAATGCTTCTTGTAAGTCATATTTCTTCAGAAGACACCCTCCACAGAGCCTAAATGACACCTAGACTACTAAATTGTTTTATATAAACCACATTGTGAACTTTTGTCCCTTTGAAAGGAGTAAATAAGTATTCAAACTAAATAATCATGAAGATTCACAATTTTCATTAAGCTTTTAGCATAAAAATTTACTTAATGATATGTAAAATATGAGTTTATCCAACAAGTATCATACTTTTGCACCAGAAAAACCAGGAACTCCATGTTGGCCTTGATCTCCTATTTCGCCTTTCCTCCCAGGCTGTCCTATTGGACCTGGAAATCCTGGTGGACCTGGTTGTCCTGCAGGGCCCCTCCTTCCTTCAAGACATCTGCAATCTCCTGCCTCACCTGCAAGATACATCCCAGAACATATACAAAGAAGTCAGTCTTGTTCCCATAAAATATGAAAAAATCATTGAAGAAAACATTGATAAGAAACTTATTATTAGCTAAAATATAGTAATGGTACTTACCGGAGATTTACTTAACACCCCGTCACATATGGCCAAAGTCCAATCAGTCGTTCCAAACAGCGTGGCTGCTATGTTTTGCCAAGTTGCTTCAGACTTTCGGTGGCTCTAGGAATGAATGATTTGCAAAATGGCCGGTCCTCAACATTGTTGCTCAGCTATTGGAAACTCTAAAGCTGTGGCTTCCTTTTGGGAGTTAGTGTATCTCACGTTTGGTCTTCCTCTTTTCCTGCTGCCATCAACTCTCCCCCCCCCAACTAATGCTTCTTATGAGAAAATATTCTAGCCTCTGTTTTGTCGTTTTTGCTTTTAGAGAGAGTTCAGGCATGATTTGATCCAGAACCAAAGTAGACCCATTGAATAAAAGGGATTTATTTGATTGTTTGTTTGTTCAGGTCTTTAGTCCGTGGATCGTCCCCAGTTTAGGAGAACAGTTGGATCTAAGCCTATATTGGGGAATGGGTGTCCCTGTGTTCAGTCTTCTGGACTC